AATTATATAATATTATTTATAATGTTTTTAATAATATATAATAAAGAATTTATAAATCATTATATTAAAACATGTATAATAAAATAATTTATTAAATTAAAATCAAAAAATTTTTTGTTTTTTAATTTTTAAAAAATAATTTTTTTTTATTTACTATTTCTTTAATGGTATTATAAACAAATTTTCTTGTAATTTTTTATAATTAAAATTACTTTAAATAATTTTAAAAATAAAAAATAAAAAATTAATATATTTTGGTAATTATTAATTTTAAAAATTTAAAAATAATAATATTGAATATATTGTATTCCAAATGCATTAATATCTAAAATGCGTATTTGGGATATTTTAAATCAGAATATGCAATTGGGATATTCTAAATGTAAAGATCGTTTTGAATATTCATTTGTTCCAAATGTGTATTTATCCTAAATGTGCATTTCAGATATCTCAAATATATATTTTAAATATCTTAAATACGCATTTTGGATATATTCCAAATACATATTTCAGATATCCAAATACTAATATAAAGTTTATTTACATTTTTATTTACAATTTAAATAAAAATAAAGTTTTAAAAATATAAATATTAAATATAAATAAAATTTAAATTACAAGTCTGTCAATTAATAAATTTAAATCATTAGTAGTTATTTAGAACAGTCTAAATAGTCTTTTAAAATATCCTAAATACTTATTTATGATATCTGAAATGAGCATTTAGAACATTATCTAAAATGTACATTTGGGACATTATTCAAAACATGCATTTAGAATATTGTTTGAAATGCATATTTGGAATATCTGAAATATACATTTAAAATATTGTCTAAATGTGCATTTGGGATATTGTTCAAAATGCATGTTTGGAATATCCAAAATGTGTATTTAAGATATTATTTAAAATACGCATTTAAAATATCTGAAATGTGCATTTAGGACATCCCAAAATGTTCATTTGGAATATTGTCAAAAATGTGTATTTAGAATATCTGAAATACACATTTGAAGGCAACGAATATTCTAAACAATCTTTGCATTTAGAATATTTCAATTACACATTCTAATTTGAAATATTCTAAATGCACATTTTAAATATCAATGCATTTGAGGTATAACAGATATATCATAATATAATAAATCTAATAAACTTTATTTTATCTTTTTATAATTACTAGATGTTAAGGTATTATAAGTTTTCTAAAATAATTTATATTAAGATAAATTAAATTAACTTATAAATTAAAAAATTTAATTTATATAAAATTAAAATATAAGTTTAAATAAGTCATTTTAGAGATTTATAAGTATTAGATAAAATTAAAAAATAAAAATAAAAGTTAATAAAAAAGCTATATAATTGATTTAATTAATTATATATTATTAAAATCAATTTAATGTTAAATAAGTTTTGACTTAAATATAATTATTTTTTAATAAATTATTAAAAATAAGAAATTAAAAATAATAAAAATATAATAAAAGAATAAATCATATAAATTTTATTTTAAAGTAAAATAATTACTTATTAAAAATTAAAAAATTTTTTAAGTAAATTTCTTATTAATTCTAAAATAATAAAAATTATTATATGATAATTAAATATTATATCTTTTAATTACAAAAGTAAAGTAAAAATTATGTTATTAATTGATTAATATAATATTATTTAAATATTAAATAATATATTATAATAATTATTAAAAGTTATTTTTATAAAATATATGAAAAATATATTTTTTATAAAAATGATATAAATTTTAAAAATATATTAAATAAGTATATTAATGATTTAAATAATAAATATATAAATATTATATTTTTAGATAATTTATAATATATAATTTTTATATAATTAAATTAATTTTTATTTTATCTCTCTATTATTTAAATAATTTTTCTTAATTAACAAAATTTATAAATATATACTATTAAATTTTAAATATATTTGCTTTATATAATGAAATATAGTATATAAATATTATTAGATCTTTATATATTAATAATTATACAACTCAAGCACCCTAGTCATATCAAATCCAAAATATAGCGGCCAAATTTTCCTAAGCGATTAATCATATGATTTTCACGTGACTCTCAGTCTAAATTATAAAATTAATATAATTCTGACCAGCATTAATATATAACTTAAATGTATCGTGCAATATACGTAAAAATATTTTATTAAAAAATTATTTAAAAGACATCAAATATCATGAAGCAAATATATTAGGTATTACTCTATGTCTTTTATAACACTTAACTGTATATTCTACTTGCTTTATATCTAATCTTTTTTGATATGCATCTATATATCTATATGATTTTCTTGCAAATATTTTAATATGAGATAATAGAACTTGATTTAGAGCAATTGGCATAATTCATTACAAACTAGTCCAAGTATAGTCATAATTTTTACGAGAATATTTTTTGGATGCTCCCTAATACATTTCAATAAAATTTAATTCAGATAAAATTTTAGATAAAAAATTACTTTATGACTTTGTTCTTTAATAATTTCTTGAATCATTTCTTTTTGAGTAAGAAAATCAGATTGATTTTCAAAATATGCCATATGTATTGAGTATCTTTTGATTCATTATTACGGTAATATTCTATTAAGTCCAATTTTATTAACTGACGTTCTTTTAAAACTTATCTCATACCTTTTGGTTTTTCTCGAAGTGTTTTATCAAAATAATCATCAGGAAAATTCATACTTTGAATTTGTCCATTAAATATTGTATTTCTCATTTGAAGTTGCTTTTTACCAGGATTTACATTCATATATGATGCAACTAATGCATTAAGTGTAAAAGTACTATGTGATGTAGAATTATTAAATGCAAAAATACCAATAGCATTTGGATGAGTTGTTTCAAATATGGGAATTGCATGTTGAATTATCTTAAATAAAAAAAAATATTTATTAAAATAAAAAAAATAATTAATCAATTACCTGTTCAACTAATTTTTTAATAGTCTACCAACCATCATGATTTTTTTCAGGGTTCATTATAACTTGGGTTTCATGTAGAATTTTATTTTCAATTTCAGAAAGTTTTTGTTCTTCATTTAATTGCAATTGATTAATTATTTCACAAATAAAATTACTTAAATGAATAGTACGTCCTTGTCCTTTTTTTCGCAAAGGCTGTTCATGATTAGGAGCTTATTTAGAATTTCTTCTATCATTAGAATGAAATGTAGTTTCATCATAGGTAACTAAAATATGAATTTGTTTATTTGGTTACAATCAGGATTAATTTGAATTTCCATTTCATCACCTTCAAAAATCAGCATTAATTTTTGATAACTTTATTTTAAAAAATGAAAATAAATAAATAAATTGTAGCTTTGATTGACATTGTATGATTAATGTGATACTTACATTTCCATTTCCTTTAAAAAGATTTTTGATATATTTCACTATATCTTCACATTTATACCTATTTACATAAACTCCCTTTTGATATTTTTTATAATAATAACCCATCTTTCTAAGCCAATTTCTTGCAGTAGTTTCGCTAATAATTAATAATTATAAATAATAAATATTATTTAATAATTAAAAAATTAAAAGTAAAACATTTACCTAATTGTTATTTTGTTTCAACACCAAGTGATAGAAAAATAGTATTTGTAATATAATCTACAAAATCGGCAATATAAAACTCAAATTTTTTTTCTTGCAAATAAGAAGTAACTTGCATTTGAATATCTTTATCATTAAATAAACTTTTATCTTACAATACTTTCCTCATTTAGAAAATGGGATAGACTCTTCATTTTGCAGCATGCGACTTCATAAACGAAGACATCGAATAAACTATAGTCCTTTTTTAAGTTGTCATATAACACTAAGATTAGCTTTTAGTTTAGAATCTTGAAATTCAAGAAGTTGCATATTTTATAATATAGCAATTAATCTTAATTTGTGACCTTCATCTAAATTTTTTTCTTTTAGTTGTGTTTCAAGAGAATTAATTACTTGTTGGAAATAATCATCATCATTATTGAGTTCATTTTCAGATTCTTCGCTTATTTCATCACTTTCATTAGATTTTGCAATAGAAAAAAAATGATCAATTGTTTGCCCATTTTTTTTGGCATTCCTTTTTGCTTGGACACGATTTCTGCATTTAGTTTTTGCAGAATTTCCTGTATAAGTTAACTTGCAGTTCGATAGGATATAATTTTACATTTGATTCATTAAAATTTGAATCAAATCTTCTCAATTATCATTCAAATTATCATCTTTCTATATAATTTCTTCATCATTTTCTACATCATGAAAAATTTCTCACAAACTTTCTTCATTATTTTCTACTTTAAGATTTGTTTCAGCCATTTGAACATATTTCTTTTATTTTTTTTCAGTAAGTTTTTTATGTGTTTTTTTCTTTTTGATATACTAGTTATCAAACTTTATTTTTCAAAATAGAACTGCAAAAATAAATTGTATGTGATTGCATATGCATTGTTCAAATTTATAATTATGTTGATCTCTAATAATTTTACCACATCTTTCAATAGAAATTTAATGTTAAAAAGTATTAAAAATTAAATTTTTAACCTAAAATTTGGTGGTCAAATTGAGTATATTTTATATATATACATATAATTTTTTGCTGAAGTAAAATACATATAACTTCTTATACATAGATCTAATTTGAAAAATTAAATCATACTTTTATAGCCTATAATCTGATCTATTAAAGTATGATGAATTTTTAAATCAATATTTCTTTTTTTGAAATATATAGCTATTTTAAGATAGGGTTTAAAACTTGATACGACTAGGGTACTTGAGCTGTATATACTAATAAATTTTTATATAATATTTTATAATTAAAAAATTTTGTTATATTAATATTACATATAATTTTTTTTTATCTTCTTATAATTAATTAATACTATTTTATTAAAAGTATAATCTATTCTTAAATAAAATTATTAAATTATAATATTTAATATTTAATTAAAATCATAATATTTATTATATAATATTAATTTATTATAGCTTAATTTACACTCTTATATAAGATATCATATGATATATTGTTAAAACCTATTTTATAATCCTAAATTTAATAAAAAAAATTAATTTTTGATTCACTAAATAATAAATATCAAGATTCATTAATACTTATACAATATAGTATTATGTTAAAAATAAGAAATAATACTCTAAATCATATTATTATTTATAATAATATAGCAAAAAAATAAAGAAAAATTAAGAATAAAAATTTTGATAAAATTGATAATATAATTAAAGAATATATAACTACTTTAATTAATCCTTATTTATATTAACAATAAGAGTAAACTACTCTAATCTTATAATTAAACTAACTTTTTTATCTATAATTGATCTAATTGAATCTATACTAGAATTTTTAAGAATATATCAATTCAAAAAAATAGAAAATATAATTAAAATAGTTGAAAATAAACTTGTTAAATTAAATTTATACAAATTTAAAAATTGCAGCAATTGAATTTAAAATTAGCATAAATTATTATAAAATTAGCAAATTAAAATGAATACAAGATATGGGAGGTTTGCTATTAAAATTGAGTTTACAAACATAGTAAATCATATAATCCATAACGTGATTTTAATAGCTTACCTCCCATATACATAATTGTAGAGCAAAAAAACTTAAAATGTTTATTAAAAATTAAAAGTAGTTTAATATAATCATTTTGTGTGTTTATCACTACTTTTTAAATATTCAAATTTATATAATAAGATTTATGAGTCAGTTGAATTTAGATTAACTAATTTAAAAAAAGAAAAAAAGTTATAAAAATGCAGATCATTGAACATTTTTATAAATATTTTGAAAAATTATAATACAGACCCCTGTCATAAGTCTCTAAACACTTTTTGGCTCAATGTAAAACTTAAAATTTTAAGTTTATTAAAAAAATTTATTATTTATTATTAATATATGATATGTTACACATTTAATACTAAATAATTAGTACTTGATCAGACCTTTATTTGTTTTATTATAATCTGAAATTACTGCAATATAGTGATAAATTGCTTCAGCTAGCTTCGCTATAAATTTTTAATTAAGGATAATTGATCAGAATAAAATCTCGAATTAACAGTTCTAATGTCATCCATTCTTTTTAAAGTTCTAAATGCTATTAAAAATTCACAACTAATATTTGCAATAATAGCCTATTAATTATTACCACATTGATGGTAAAATTTATACTACTGTATTTTCTATTGATCATTTTTATAGCTTTCAAGGTAAAATTTTATTTTAGTTAAAAATTAAAATAAATAAATCAAACACACTTTTATTTGATTTTGATTTAAGCAAATAAGATCAATACATTACATAATAAGGGTTAGTATATATATAATATGAATAATACTAAATAATTATTTCTTATTTAAATAAGCTAACTTAATTGTTATAAAGTTCATTATTATCTAATATAAGTTGTTATAGCTAGAGTTTCATATATAGATACTAAAAATATCTTGATAAACACTATTATTTACATTTATTAAATATGTAAAGTAATTTACTTCTATGTTTGCTGATATACAGTCCCCGCCGAAAGTAATAGCGGTGGAGATATTAAATAATATTTTGGTCACAGTTTCTCCGGTGTTCCAATTTGACGCATTATTAATTAGGCCGATTTAGGCAATATGATGTTGTTTTTAATAAAATAAACAAAAAAACCTGATCT